AGCTTTAACGCACCTGAAGTTCTTTGCCTCGGATGCTGCGTCTCCAAGCTTTACAAAGCTCAAGCCATCTCCCAACGCGTCGTCCCTTGTGGGTCAACGTACCGATTGCAGATATGCTTCTTCCTTAGCTTGTTATCGCTTTGACACACCTGAGGTTCTTCGCCTCAGGATGCTGCGTCCCCAAGCTTTACAAAGTTCAAGCCATCTCCTAACGCGTCGTCCCTTGTGGGTCAATGCACCGGTTGCAGATACGCTTCTTCCTCAGCTTGTCAGCGCTTCGACTTACTTGAGGTTCTTCGCCTAGAGACGTTACGTCCCCAAGCTTTACAAAGCTTCAGCCATTTCTTAACGCGTCGTCCCCTGTGGGTCAACACACCGGTTACAGATAAGCTCCTTAAGCCCCAGCATCATGGCTCATACGTCTCCATTGGGAATTTACTGCCCTTCGTGATTGAACGAACTACCAACCAAGATGAGCCCCTACCAATGTCACTTCAGTTTTAACAATACACTCCACCCACAAAGCCTTCGACGCATCAATTCGCTTCGCGCTTTAACATTAACACTTCACCAGATACTGCAAATCTCACACAATCATATAAACAAGTCAACCCATGATATGAATATTTATGCCTAAACTTGGGGGACCACTATTATGTCCCGCACTAATCCAGTTCAGCAATAGTGTCTCTCTTGTCTAAGAAGTGCCACGTGTCCAACAACGTGGTTCCGAAGTGGTGTCCATCTCAGCCGAACTCCAACTCAACACACCGCAAGGCGAGTAGATGTAAACTAAATCTACTGAAGTGACTGAAGCGCCCCTGTTATCGAAGCGCTAGGCTATCCAAGGTGCTCCCTTAGCAAATACATGTGCCGCCTATTTCAGACCCATATCTATGTCAAAATCCCCTATGGATGTGACCTTTCCATGGGTCTAGTTGATGTGACATCAATTTTATGTCAACTCAATCTAGAAAAATTAATAACCCGCCCACCTTAGACGCGGCTGATTGACGCTTTCGAGCAGACATCTCACGCCGTCAGATGCATACACGTGTCCCGCATCCAACGGTGCTCCTCATCTATAAATACTCAAGGTTTGACAAGAGGCAAAGGTAATGAAACTTATACTAAACTAAGCTCTCCACAGTCAAGCAATATATATTCTCCTCCCCCATCTTTTGCATAATTTCGACACCGTTCCGATCATCGACCATTGACTTGACCGTTGAAGTGTATGCGGCCGCTACCACCCCCACTAGTTCTAGTCGTGTGCTCCTGACCGTGCGTTTTTGTACGTAAGGAGGAATACGTGGAGTGACTCTCGATTGGCCACATAAAAGTCCATTTTGCGAGGTCAACAATGATATTGCATAACATATATAATTCGTTAAAAGTAACAATCTTGAGGTTGAAAAACATTTGTCCAAGTGGTTTATTAATTTATCAAAATTCAACCATAAGGCGGCCGAGAAATAAATACCAAAAGCTCGAAAAAAAAAATAACTGAAGCTTGATAATTAAACAACTTTAATGCCCCCGAATTTATTAAATAAAACGACAAATTAAGAATTGTTTTGAACTATGACTAAACAATTAGAAAAAAAAAAAAATCAATCAAGGTCCTAGGCTCTCCCACTCTGTCCACTAAATAATAAAAATTACCTATTTTGAATACCTTAGTATTCTCTTCACCACTTCTATATAAAAATGAAAGTTATTATATGTTTTCTGAATGTCGTCATATCAATAGGTAACGCGGTTAACTTCTTCCAAAATCCTAGTTCGTATTTCTAACATCCCCGGCCTCAAACTTGAGCTCGTTTCAATTACTAAAACAATTTGAGTAGTAACTGCCCAAATGAAGGACGTGGTCATTTTATGGCTACATGTGTAGGGAACTGAATTTTTTGCGATGGTTTGATGAAGGCTCATCAAATTTCAGTTTTTTTTTATTGATTTTAAGAAATTATAACTTAATTTTGTGTTATTTTTGTTCGTTGGATAAAACTCGATATAAAATAGTGGAATTTGAAGAAATGAATGAAAATCGGCAAAAATGAAAAAAAATCAAAGTTTGAGGATCAAATTGTAAATATTCAATGTGGATTTGTACAAAAAACAAAAAAAATAAATTGATTATTGAAGATCATAGGGATCAGTTGGGTGATACAGAAGATGAGGGATGCTAATTACATGAAAAATGACCAAAACCACCCCAGAGGTGGCAAATGGTCCCAAAATGCTAAAGCCAGGGGCATGCGCATAAGGCAATTAATTGCCCTGTGCATGTAAGGTGATGAGTGTATTTTATAGACTTATTTGGGTCGTTAAAAGTATAAATTTTGATTACTTATGACTTAATTAGATGTTAATTTTATTTATTAGGTAAAACTCAAGGCAAATTGATGGAATTGGAAGAAAGAAACCAGAAAAAAAAAAAAGAGGAGCAAAATTGAATATCACATATGGTCAATTGGATGTAATTGGAGGCCAAATGAGTGAAATATATTTGAAGTATTTTCGCAAATCAATTTTCAGCCAAAAAAATTACGTTTCGAATTTTTAGCATCAAGTTGAGATCCATTTTTCAGATAGCAAAAGTTCGAATTTGAGAATTTGTATGCTATAATTCTTGGAGTCATCTTTAAAACACATTTTGGATCATCTTAATCGGATACTGAGAGAGAAAGTAATGACCAAAATACCCAAGGCTACTCAGAGACGATGCAAAGCTAACCAGTGCGCATAGGCCATTTTTGTGTGCGTGCAAGACATCAATTTCGTGGCCCTAGAACAAGTCAACATGCCTATGTGCGCAGTAGATATACCTACGCATGTGCCTTGGCCAAATTTTCTGCTAATGGGCCAAATTCCTTTCTTAACTCAAACTCTCATTTGTAACAACTTGAGGACGATTTCTTTATCTAAATTCAATCCTTATAAATACAATACTTGTGAGAACACATGATAGAACTCTCTCTTACCTCTTTATACATAATAATATCATCAGATTTATTAAGTACAAGATGTTAATTCATTACTTTTGGGGGAGAATGAAGCCCTAGTAAGAATTGAAGGTCAATTATATCAAGAAATTGAAGAATTCTACTTTCGACCTGAAGATCAACGTCTTTTGTATTCTTTGATGATTTGAGTGATATTTTTTCATTATTGTTCTTGTAATTTATTTAAATCTATGCTAGGATAGATCCATTTTTTCATATTGGATGAGATGAATCATGTTGTTTATTTGTTTGAAATTCATAACTAGCAGTTTAGTTTAATTCTTGCATTTTTTGATTAATGTTTGCATACCCATTCCATTATTTAATTGATTGGTCACAATAAGATAACTAGTTGCTTGTTTACTATTAAGAGACTCACAATAAGTAGAATGCGACAAAATTAACATATTTGTAGTAAATGTTAAAAATAACATTTATCACCAGTGCTATCATATAAATAATCTAAAATTTAAAGCATTTTAACAATTCGAATTCTGGATAGGAATAGATTCGAGTCGTGATTAGGATAGAATTAATTTGTTTTAGAAAAGAAAGTTAAATATATTAGTTATATTGATTGTCAAGAACGCTTGAACAAGACTAGATTACAAATCAAGAATTAAAATAGATAAAAATAGGTGGATTCTAAATCCTATCAATCATCCATAATATGATAAAAACCAAACTTTTATTACTTTCTTAGATTAATTTAGCAAAAATCAAATCAAAATCTCTTTTTTTGTTTTACATAATTCGAATCACATACATCAATAGTAAACTTGAATTGGAATATATTCTCTTTGGGATGATATTCTCAACTCGCTAAATATATTACTTGTCAATGATTCCGTACACTTGTGAGTTTCACTAGAAGCCAGATCATACATTTTGGGGAGCGAAGAACAACAAAGCAAGAAATTAAGGTTAATTACTTCGAGAACTTGAAAATTTCAAGCTTGAAATTGGATATAAAGATCTCTTGCATTCAATCATGTTTCGGGTGATATCTATTAAATATTCTTCTAACAATATAATAGAAATCATGCTAGGCTAAATTTTCCTTTGTATTTCATAAAGATGAAACCTTTGATTATTTATTTTTAATTTAAAGACAAGCAATCAAATAATTCTTGTGTTTTTTTTATTAATCTTGCATGTTTCGTTGTACTTTTTAAGTGTTTTTGCACCATTTAGATAAATACTTACTTATTATAGTGTTGGGAGGCTCACTAAATTATAAAAATTGACTTATTTTAAATACTTTAGGATTCTCTTCACCACTTTTAAATAAAACTGTAAAATAGTTATTTTATGCTTTCTGAATGTCCTCATATCAATAGGTAATGTGGTTAACTTGCCCCCCCATGGCATAGCCTAATGGTGCAAAGGATAGGAGTGAGGTTATCTCACGCCTTGCTGGCAGCCGTAGTGTGGGGGTTTGATTCCTGAAATATGGAATTGAACTCCTTGTAGGCACAGTGTACATGCAGCTCTTGTTCCCTGGCCTACTGGGGCACATCCCACGATTTACTTCCCTCACAAAGCTCTAGAGGCGGGGTGATGGGGGCCCTCAAGGTTGGGGTTCAACCTTTTTTTAGGTAATGTGGTTAACTTCTTCTGAAATCCTAGTTCGTGTTTCCAACATCCTTGGGCTCAAACTCAAGCTCGTTTCAATTACTAATACAATTTTGAGTAGCAACTGTCCAAATGAATGACGTGGTCATTTTATGGCTACATGTTTATGGTACTAAATATTTTTGAGATGATTTGATGAAGGGTCATTAAATTACAGTACTTGTTATTGATTTTAAGAAATTATAGCTTAATTTTGTGTTAATCTTGTTTGCTAGATAAAACTCGATTCAGAATAGTGGAATTGGAGGAAATGAATGAAAATCGGCAAAAAAAAAAAAAAAATCAAAGTTTGAGGACCAAATTGTAAATATTAATGATGATTGAAGGTCATAGGGCTCAGTTGGATGATAATAGAAGATGAGGGATGAAAATGGCATGAAAAATGACCAAAAAAACCTTAAAGGTGGCAGTCGATCCCAAAATGCTACAGTCATAGATATGTGCACGAGAAAATTGCCTTGGGCATGCAAGGTGATAAGTGTATTTTATATACTTATTTGATCATTAAATGAGAGTAATTATAATAAATTTTAATTTTTTATGACTCAATTAGATGTTAATTTTATTTATTAGGTAAAACTTGAGACAAATTAATGGAATCGGAAGAAAGAAACAAAAAAGGAGCAAAATCGAAAGAAATTCAAAGTTCGGGGACAAAAATGTAAACATTTAATAATTGATTCGAACTATAAAATGACTATTGAATATCAAATACAAACTTTTTAAAAGTTTATATAAATTTTGGGGTATTCAATTTTTAATGACTTCCAAAAACTTTTATAAAAGTCTCTGGGGTACTAACTTTTAAACAAAAAATACTTGTATGAAATCTCAAAATCTACCTAATTAATCACAAGATAAAATTTTTTGAAAAAAAAAAAAAAAAAAAAGATATGTTTTGTTTTTCTAGCTTCAACCTGAGACCACTTTTCAGATAGCGAACATTTGAATTGGAGAAATCTGTATCCCTTAGAGTCATCTTTTCAACGCATTTTGAATCACCTCAATCAGATATTAAGAGAGATATTTATGATCAAAATACCAAAAGCTACTTAGGGATGGCACGACACAAATCAGCTCAGGCTCCATCTATTTTGGTGTTCGCGCAAGACATCAATTTCATGACCAAGAAGAAGTCAACAAGCTTGTATGCGCGGCAGATATACCTACTCATGTGCCTTAGCCAAATTTTCTACTGACATGTCAGTTTCGTATCTTGATTTAAACTCTTACTGGTAACAACTTTGGAATGATTTCTTGATCTATATTCAACCTTATAAATACTTTGGACTTGAAGATCAACATCTTTTTTTATTTTTTCATTATTCGGGTGATATTCTTTCATTATTTTTATTATAATTTATTTAAAACTATGCTAGTATAGATCCATTTTTATGTTGGATGAGATAAAAATCTAATGTTTATATGTTTATTCAAAACTAGTGGTTTAGTTTAGTTCTTGCGTTTCTTGATTATTTTTGTATATCCATTGCATTATTTAATTGATTGGCCGCAATTAGATAATTAGTTGTTTGTTTATTGTTCAGAGACTCGCAATAAGTTTAGAATGCGGCAAAATTAACATATTTGTAATAGATGTTAAGAAAAGAGTAATTAGCACAAAACGTCCCTATTTTTCGAAAATTTTGTAGAAAACGTTCATACCTTTGATTTTTTGGCGGATTATACCCTCACCTTTACCTTTTTTTTGCGCAAAACATCCTTCTATCAACTCCCCGTTAAAATGCTCCATTAAATCAAAAGATAATTAGCACAAAAGGTCCCTACCTTTCAATATTATTGTGCAAAACGTTCCTACGTTTCATTTTTTTGCATAATTAGCACAAAAAGTCTCTACCTTTCAATGTTATCGTACAAAACGTCCATACCTTTCATTTTTTAGCATTTTCACATCTACCTTTCACCTTTCATTGCGAAAAAGGTCATTCTCATCCATTTTTTTTCAATAAAATGATGATTTTACCCTTCTATTCAAATAAAAAAAATAAAATAAAATGATGAATTACCAACTACAACCATAGTCCTTAAATTTTTAAAAAATTATAAATTCTCAATCACCACAACTTTCACAACCTATCAAGCTACCAACTATAAATCAACATAACACCATCTTTCAGCCACCATGCCCAATGGACTCCACCACCGTAAACGTGGTTGTTTCGGACAGATTGGTGACCGATATTATGGAGGAGGATGTTGGGGAGAGTGAGACGAGGCGGTGGTGGTGGAGTCTGGTAGGTATTGTGGTCCAAAGATGGTGCTATATGGATCTATAAGTGGTGGCTTGGTGAGATTGTGAAAGTGGCGGTAGTGGAGAATTTAGGATTTATCTCTAATATTTTGAAAAATTTAGGACTATGATTGAAATTAATTATTTATTTTTCTTTTCTTTTCTTTTTTTTTATTTGAATAGGAGGGTAAAATTGTCATTTTATTGAAAAAATGGATAAAAATGACCTTTTGCACAATGAAAGGTGAAAGGTAGGGGTGAAAATGCTAAAAATGAAAGGTATGTACATTTTGCACAATAACATTGAAATGTAGGGATCTTTTGTACTAATTATGTCAAAAAATGAAATGTAGAGACATTTTGCACAATAATATTGAAAGGTAGGGACCTTTTGTGCTAATTATCTTTTGATTTAACACAACATTTTAACGGAGAGTTGACAGAATGACGATTTGCACATAAAAAAAGTAAAGGTGAGGGTGTAATTCACCAAAAAACGAAAGGTATTGACGTTTTCCACAAAAAGCATTGAAAGGTAGGGACGTTTTGTGCTAATTATCCTTAAGAAAAACTTGGGAATCGAGCTCCTCCAAGCGGACGCCTTTGATCTTCACTGTTTTCAGTCTCTGACCGGTACTAAAATTTCCTTTATTTGCCTCTTATTTTCTGTATTAACATTTTTCTACATTTCTAGTAATGTTTAACGTGATTATGTTTATGATTTTTGTGGTTCTTAATTAACTTTGATAAAAGTCCCGCTCAGTAAGTGTAAGATAATTTCTTATATAAGCAAATCATGATGTAGATCTTTTGATTTAAAGAAAATCAAAGGTCTATAAGGAAAGTAGGGACAATGAAATTATATAGGATTTTTTCAAATTTGTTTTACGTGACTGATCATTGAAAAATGACAAAGGTCATTCTGATCTTGGGAAGTATAGCACATTGACTTCCAAATGCTAATTTTTTAACCGGTTCCTCGTCAGTTGTTAAGCTAAACAACTTATATCTAAATCAAAAAAATATTTAATGCTAACTCAAAAGCTACTATATTCTTGTCTTTATCACTGCTTATGTTGAAGCTAATAATGGACTTCTGGAAATATATTTACTTTATGGGCTCATTAGGTTAATGAGTAATCTTTTTTATCATGAAATAGCTACTTCGCCAATTCTTAATTTGCTAAGTGAAAGGAATTGTGTGACATAATGAAGTTAACAGGAGGCTTTGACAACTTGATACGTCACAATCTAATAATCAAAGGCTAGGGATATGTCCTTCGAATGCGCTGCAAATTTTTAGCATACCGTAGCACCATAAAGCTCACAAATTGCTGGTGATAACATGTTAGTCTATTGGTCAAATGAGGAAAAATCATGGATAGTAACATCTTAATCAGACACAATGGGATCATTGAACTATACTACATTAAATAATTGTTGATCAATCTTTGACAATTTTTAAATTTTAAGCTATTGAACTAATTTGCATTCTGTCCTTATTTACCCTTTTAATGCTTTTGATTTGTTTTATGTTAGTTGATCTTTCATTCTCATATTGTATTCTCTCCTTTGTCCTTATTTACCCTTTTAATGCTTTTGGTTTGTTTTGTGTTAGTTGATCTTTCATTCTCATATTGTATTCTCTCCTTACACCATCTATGGAAATTAAAATTAATTTTAAAAAAATACAATTAAAAAGACCCTAAATTTTACCTTTGAAATCATTATACATGTACCGCAAAAGAATATTTTCATAAACAATGAAAAAACATAATATTTTCTGAACATGCGAGGATTAAAATTAATTTTTAAAAAAATACAATAAAAAATATTAAAATCTTTAACCACTTAAATTATTCTTCATTTTCCAACCACGCAAGCACAATCCACCTTTGATTGCCTCAAACCCGCTTTTTTATTTACTTGTAAAATGTTTAACATATACGTATAAGACATAAATCTCAATCAATAATGAATTTGCATCTTATATTTAAATATGAAAATCATAACATACATATGGAAACACAAATATTAAAATCCAAACTTCGTGGCTATAATTCCCGTGAATAGTGCTACTAAAATCCGGTCTTTTGAACTTATACATATAGGACCCTTATCATAATCATAACTTGGATTTTCGTATCATCATATTCATAACATAAATTTTCGTTATTTAAATAATGAAAGAATAATTCGTACTATTACACTTACCCTATGATACACCGACATAGACACGTGTGTACAACACGATACGTGTCCGATACAATGACACGTGATTTTTCAAAAAAGTACCAACACGACATGTCGTCGTCATGTTAATTAAATTCTTTAAAAATATTTATTTATATAGTATAAATTTAGTTTATATTTGTTATTAATTCTTTTGTTGAAATCTTTTAAATATGAGTACCTACTTGTTATTTACTACTAACTTGGAGTTAAAAATATGTAATATTTTTAATAAAGAATAAAAATGTTTATCGTAGAATGTCCGAGAAGTGTCAGAATCAACATTTGTCCGGCACAGACACGCTATCCTAATTAAAGTGTCTGTGTCACAGAGCACTTACATTTCACTTGATAATTCAAAATGATAAAAGAAGTGATTGTTGGAGGGAGATCCTTGAGTCGCGTGTGGGTTATGTGATTGTGTAAGTATATGACTATATTTAATATGAAAACGGACAAGAGAAAGAGTAAAAGCATAGAGACGGAGCGTGGTGGATCTTGAAAGTTGTCAAATCAATACCTTTAATCTTGTGATCAAATCAATAAACTTGGCTTGAAACTTTGTGTAAATAATGTATGTTGATGTTGGATAGTACTAATAACTGCTCACCACAATCAACAAGGTAAATGCTACTCTATGGGCACTCTATGTAGAGCACCCCATGCTAGGCCGTCAACCACTGAGAGGCCCTTTACATCCACATTAGGCCGTCAACCACTGAGAGGCCCTTTACATCCATGATAGGCTGTCAACCCATGTGAGGCCACCCAACGCTGTAAGTCCAACATAATGCTTATCTATGAAAACATCGTTGAATCAGATGAGATTTGTTTAACGGTTATCATGGATACGACCAAATGCCAGATAAACAGTGGTCCTCCACTTAGAACATGGGATAATGGGACTTACTATGTGGGACATGGCAATAAAACCATACAGTAGTTTCAAGGCTTCAATCACTTATAAATATCCCTAAGGCGAGAGAGAAAAAAAACTTTGGCTATCTGAATACACACTTTTCCTTAACCCACACTCCTAAATTCATTACTAATTTTCACATCGAGGTAAAATGAGGAAGAAAGAATCGGCCTAATTTTATAGGTAACACTTGTTCATTGTAGTAGCAGAAGCACCTTACGCTGCCAAAAGGTATGGAGTTTTGTTTCATTATTACTTTATTGGTGTCATCTGTAGGAAACCATTGAACAGAAAAGCTACATCAAGAAGACAAAGATGAAGTGATATAAGCGCTTAGTTGGGAATACGGTGGAGATGGTGTCAGAATCGGAGTCAGTCATAAGGGGTCCCGATCCACAACCGCAGTATGTAACACAAAACCAATTTAGAACTCTGGAGGTTCGATTGGCAGCAATGATGACTCTCTTGCAGAATCAAGCACAAAGAGCCACGTTCCCACCTCTGAACTCGGCGGAGGCTGCGCAGCCGCCTTAAAGGACACCTGCAAATGCCTTCACTGTTATCCAACTGGTTACGATAGACTCGGGGGCTCCAAGGGTAATAGTTCTACAACCTCCACGGCCTATGGTACACTTGGAACGGAGGATGAAGGAAATAATGACCCAGAAGGTAGATGATGCACTATCCAGAATGAAGGACAAAAATAGCAGTTTTGGAAGAAGACCTATTTGCACTCGAGATCATGGCAGTATCTCTACCTAAGGGCTTCAAACGGCCTATGATAGAGGCATATGACGGAGTCATGGATTTGCTTAACCACGTGCGGACCTTCATTGAATTAATGAGACTCTATGTAGCACCTGACGCAGTGATGTACCAGACCTTCTCCCTGGCACTCAGGAGGGAAGCCAGAGACCGGGTAGCAACTCTAGCCCCCTGATCTACTAGAACATTTGATGAGCTCTCCAAGAGTTTTGTAGCTTACTTTGTAAGCAGCAAAAGGAAGAGGAAGACATCTATTGGGCTGATGTAGGTCGTTCAGGAAAAGTACGAATCTTTGTTGAAATACTTGGCCAAGTTTATCTAAGCGACGCTTGGAATAAAGGACCTTCAGATATCGGTGGTGGTAATTGAACTAATGAACGAGACATGGAACTAGGCCTGTAAGATATCACTCTCTAAGAACCCTTGCACCAGATGCATAACCTGCTAAAGAAGGGAGACAAGTATATTGATACTGAGGAAGTAGAAAAGGTCACGCAAAGTCCCAAAGAAGGATGGGAGATGGAAAGTCACAAGCGAAAGACAAGTGATGAGTCAAGATTTACTGACAAAAAAATTAAAGAATGAGCGTGTAAACAAGGGGACCACCCATGATCGATCAATTAGGCAGAGATGAGAGGAGGTCAAGGCCTTCACAACTTTGAATATCCCACGCAAAAAGTTGTCTATAGAGATACGAGACATGAAATAGCTCAAATGGCCGAAGCCAATTATGATTCCAGCCAACAAAAGAAACCAAGACAAGTATTGCCATTTCCATAAAAATCATGGACATGACACCGAAGAATGCCTGCAGCTAAAGGAAGGGATCAAGCACCTTCTGAGATGGGGACTCTTAAGCAATTATGTGAAAGATAACAAAGGTAAACAAAAAGTAGAGGATCGTTTCCCACCCAGAATTAGAGTGATAAAGATGATCATAGGTTGGGTGGCAGCCGACGGAGACTCAAACTCAGAAGCTACACACGCTCTGTCGAAATTTGCTCTATAAAAAAAGGTAAGGTTCAGTCAGAACATCACTTTTGGTGAAGAAAACTTGATTAGCGTAGCACACTCCCACGGTGATGCCTTGGTGGTGGTAGGCAATATAGCAGACTTTGATGTTAAAAAGGTGCTGGTTGACGGAGGAAGTGCAACAGTGTTCTCACTTGGAACATTTTTCTAAGCTTGAAGATCTCCTCCAAGAAGTTGAAAATGGTGACCACCCCTTATAGGGCTTTGGAGGGGCGACGATGAGACCGGCGGGAATTGTAGAGAATTTTCAGTCACATAACCGATGATCGTTGTAATTATGAAAATTTTCCTAGTTGTCAAGACCCTCATGGTCTACTATACCATCTATGGTTGACCATTACTGAACGCTGCTGAGGCTATCTCCTCAACCTATTATCGGGCCATGAAAGTCCTAACTAGCAGAGTGTTTAGATGCGTACGAAGAGATCAATTGGCATCAAAAAAATGCTATGTCAACAGCATACAAGCCAAAGGTTCACCACCAATCATGATATTAGATGTATAGCCTCCAATGGGACAGATCGAGCCACTTGATACGATTGAAAAAATCTTTGTATCAAAAGGATGAGAGTTCAGTATCTAGGCAGGTTTGAAATTTGATGAAAAGAAAGAATTGGTAAGATGTCTAGCAGGTAACCTTGATATTTTTGCATGGAGTCCTAGCGATATCCCCAAGATCAGCCCG